CGAGTCACTAAAGGGTACTAAAGGGTATGCAAGTGCCACTGCTACTCTGTTTCAGGCCATCAATTTTGCGCATCATGTGGTTGACATCCCCTTTAGTGCTGAGATCTTGAGCGACAGGCGCCTTCAAGGCAGGGCGAAGAGGCTGATTGCTGATAGTGGTCCCTTGAAGCAAGCCACAGCATTGCGTGTTGAGCAAGTCATCCAACTTGAAATTCGAACGACCTCCAGCGAGACTTGTGTGCAAGACAAGTTCCTTTTGGGCGGGATGCTCTTCACGCTATACTCTAGATCGAGGTGGTCCGATCATCGCTTGCTTGACTTTATCTCGTTTGACGAATGTGGGGCTCCTACTGAAGGTTTTATCGAAGCACAGACCTCCCATCACAAGACTAGGAATTGCAAGAAAGCTGCCAAGCGTGCCATGCCACTGGTTGCCCCCATGTTCAGTTTGTCAGGCCATGACTGGGCCAGTGCATGGTACCAAGCAGGCGTCGAACTTGGGTTTCCGTGGGATGCTTCTCCCTTAGGACCTTTGGTGAGGGTTCCGGGTTTTTCAGGGGTCTCTAAGCGGAAATGCAGCAGCGCAGAGGCGTCAGCCATCCTACGGAGTGCCTTGGAAGTGGATGCTTCTTCAGGGGTATCATCACACTCCCTCAAGGTCACCACCCTGAACTGGTGTGGCAAGAGGGGTTTGCCCGAGTTCGATTGTTTGATGTTGGGTCACCATGTCACTGGGTCCAAATCGCGTGCGGTCTACTCACGTGAACTTCTCAGCGCACCGCTGCGCTCCTATGTCGCCATGCTGAAGGAAATCAAAGCAGGGGTGTTCAAACCTGATGCCTCCAGGTCGGGTTGGTTGTCCGACTGTGCCGCTTTTGCACCTTCACATGCAGACTTTCGTTTTGATAACCCGAAGCGACGTGGGATCCTTGCCAGTGAACCTGCCGTGTCTCCCAGCGATATGTTGGGCCCAGAGGCTGGTGCGTGCGCCCCTCGCTCCCCACAGGAGTTTCCGGAGAGCCCGCTTCTTGCACAGGATGCACCTGGCGAGTTTATGGAAGGTGGAGTTCGGGATCATGCTGATGTTGACGATGATGAGACATCCCCTCCCTCCTGGGGGGGTGCCTTGCCTGACAACACTGCCCTGCCCGGCGTTGAGTGTGAGCGCGATGCAGGGGGTGCAAGTAGCGATGAGTCAGATAGCAGTAGCTCAAGTGACAGCAATGCGTCCTCAGGGCAATCGATTGCCGAGGAGGGCATCCTCCGGAATGCCGGAGCTGCCCAAAGTTTTGATGTGCCGGGCCCGTTGTGGCAGCACAGAGGTTCAAAGATGCTGCACAAGGCGGTGCAAGGCTCGGAGATGACCAAGTGCTCGCGTAGAACGGGTGGGAATGCCTACCTGTATCTTCCTGAGGGCTCTGTGTCGAAATGGACACGATGCTCGACATGTTTTCGTGGTGAACTGATCACCTCGAAAGGCGGTATGGTGGCTGCCTTAGACGCGCTGAGCGCACCCAGAGCATCCACATGATGGTGTGGAACGAGGTGAGCCGATGCAATTTTGTTTTCTGAACGTGGCTGAACGCAGCTAAAGAAACTCGTGTGCGAGTCGCTTGCATTTGATCGTGCTTGGATTTGATATATGCCGTCCACTTTGAGTGCATTCGCGTGTGGTGGTGTGCAGCCGAGTCTTGACAGTGGGGTTTGTGAATTTCTTTAGGAACGCATCACACTTGTGCTGCCTGTTATGAACTGATACAAACCACCTGGATTGGACTGCTTGCTTAGCGTGCATCTTCATAGGGCATTTTGCCTCAAGACAGCAACATGGCGGCCACTTCCGTGTTGGCATCGACGCCTGCTTTGGAGAAGCAATGTGAAAAGGTCGGCCTCTCTGATGAATGGACCAAGGTGATGGTCGCTGCGCAAGTTGACACCTTGTCCAAGGTCTCCTATGCAGTCAGCTTACCGGGCACGCCCGCGACTGACACCAACATCGAGGACTTTGCGGGCAAACTTCGACCAGGTGTTGCTCTCTCTTTGGGCGACAATGCAGCACTTAAGCGCTTGGTCTTTGAAGCTCAGACACTTTGCATCGCCGAGCTTCGGAGTTCGGTGCAGGTTGGTGAAGATGCTCCGCGCAAGCTGCCGGCTGCAGAACGTGCTCTGCGGATAGAGCAGCAGGCAGCTCGCTTGAAGGGACTGCCTCTGTCCAAAGGTGCATGGCAATGTGCGCACAGCCTCTACGATCGTTTTGCTCACATGAGAGAGACCGAAGAGCTTCGCTTTGTCCCACCTGATGAATGCATCACCCGGGATCAGGAGTTGGCCGGCAGCAAGGCACCGAAGTCTGTGCAGCTGGATGCAAGCAAGTCGGGCCTCATCGTGAAGGATGAGGAAATCACCAATACAATGAACATCACCTCAGATCACGAACTTTACCTGAGTTTCATGAGGCGCGCCTTGGCCATGGATCTTGTGGGCCTCGCCAGCTTTGATGTGATGCAGAAGTGGATCGAGCGGCTGTTCGATGTGATGAACCAGGATCCACCTCCAAACTTCTCCCGGGTATCTCGTGCCCAGGTCCTTCGTGCGGACCGCCAAGTCTTCGTCGAGCTGGCCCGGAGAGCCAATGGAGGGCTGAAAGCCCTCGCCGATGGCTCGCTGCCACTGGATGCAGAGTTTCGCAATTTGCCGGGCAACACTGAGATCATGTACTTCTTGCTGCCGACACCGGAGAAGGGCAAGGGCAAAGGCAAAGGCAAGGGAGACAAGCGCAAGCATTCGGGCGATGGCGATGAAGGTGGCGACAAGAAGAAGGCCAAGACCACTCGCGATCCCGTGCCCAAGGAGCTTCAGGGTTGCCATAGCAGGACTCCCAAGAATAAGCCGATTTGTTTCAACTATAACTTGGGCAAGTGCAAAAAGGGCAAAGCCTGCAAGTTCGAGCATGTGTGTTGCAGACCCAATTGCTATGGCAAGCACCCCTTCTCCCAGTGCCCGAAAGCCAATGAAGCTGCTGACGTTGCTACTTCTGCTGAGTGACTATCAGCAGACCTGTGCACAGGCGACCTTGTGGCTGTCGCTGTTCCTACATCGTCCACAGATGATGTCAATTTTCCTTGTTCTGCCGTTGATCGTGCTTCGTTGCCTGCTGATTTTGATGTGCAAAGCCAGGTGCCTCGGCTTGTTAAACCCGTCACGCAATGTGTGGGTGAGACTCCGCGAGGTTTTTGCCTTGAGGTCTTTGCTAAACATGCCCAATTCACGGCTGCAGTGCGTCGTGCTTTGCCTTGTTCCTTTGGGGTGGGTTACGGGTGTTCTGCCACATCACGTGCCCCCATCGTTCATGCCGATCTCTTGAGCCCTGCAGGGCTTGCGCTGTGTGCCTCATGGGCACGTGAGGAACTGTGCTTGTGGGTGCACATTCGGTGTCCATCCACTGTCTTCCCGATCGCACACAAAGCCCACTTAAGCCCTTTGGGTGATGATGCCTCCGCTGTGTTGTCTTTGACCCGCCAACTCATTAAACACTGCGACGACACCTCTACCCCTTGGTCCCTTGAGTGTCGTGAGCGATCTTTGTTTTGGCAAGATGAGTGGGCCAGCTCCTTGCCGTCCCTTACTGTCAACATGTGCCAGTTTGGCCATACGCACCGCTCGCCTGTCAGGTTGGCCACTCGTCATCCGGATGCATTCCGTCATTTGGCTATTCCATGTCAGCATGTGCATGTTTCCACTGCCACAACCACCAATCGTGTGCCTCCAGAGGTTGTTGCCGCCTTTTATGATGCTGTGGGGACTGCCATTCTCGGGTTCTTGCGGTTCCCGCCCCTCGCTCCCGGCCCCACTCCCTTGCATTTGGCACAGGTGGCTGCTGGCTTGCAGCCCCGACGTTCGCATCTTTGCCTGGTGCCTGAGTTTAAGTCCATTGCCAATGTTCGCCTCCCGGAGCTGCCCCCTCTTCAGGACGGCAAACTGAAGCACGAGCTGGTCGTGGGTGACGTGTGCGTGCCTGCCGGATCCAAGCACTTACTCCCTGGTTCTCAACGGGGGAAGGATGGCCAAGGAGCAAGTGCAGCAGTGGGGGGATCTGATTCTCCCTTCGGAGCAAGTGCAGCAGTGGGGGGATCTGATTCTCCCTTCTGTGGACCTTCCCTTCCTCACCCTAAGTTAACTACGGCCTCGACGTCCGCGGCCCACTCCTTTTCCCCTAAGCTCTCTAAGCTGCCCATGGTCACGAGTTCTGAGACCGGGCGCCCTAACCCACAGAAGGTGAGTGCTGCATCGTGTGTGGACACAAATCAGGATGTTTTCTCGCATGAAGCTGAGCTGGCTGCCAGCCGTCTGGGCGATGTGCCCACACGGGAGGAGCTCTTGAGCATATTTGCTATGCATGATGCTGACCCTTCTAAACGCATGGCCGGGATTCGCGCGAGCGAAAAATCTTGGTCATCAGGTGCTTATGCCATGGGAGGCTGTGTCGGCGTCCGAAAGAATGCTTCCATGTTCCCTGTGTTCACCCGAGCACTGGTCCGGTTCCTCAGGCATCAGATCCCCGATGCCAGGTTTTCATGTGTTGCTATCTTTTGCGATATGTTGCAGGGCATGCACAAAGATATGTGCAATCAAGAGGGTACACTCAACTATGGGGTTGCACTTTCGGACTTTTCGGAAGGGTTTGTGTGGGCTCACGACCCGGCGGGCAAAGTTCACAAGCACACGCCATCAGGTAAGCTGCCGGGGGTGTTGCACGACATCGCAAGTGCCCCGGTGCGCTTTGATGCGAGAAAGTTTCATTGCGTCATGCCGTGGCATGGACAAAGAGTCGTGGTGATTGGCTACACACCGCAAAGAGGTTGTGCCCTCAGTGCCAAAGAGGTTCGTTATCTGCTTAGCTTAGGCTTTCCGTTGCCGTGGGTCGACACGCCGTCCCCTACTGTGCCTCCAGTCCACGATGCACCTGTCAAGCAACGCTTGGAAAATGTCGCCGACTCTGGTCCCGTGCACTCTACGCCACCTTGTGCTTCTGCGGCTGCATGCAATTCCCACTTGTACACCTTCGGTGTTTACCACTCTGAAGCCGAGTTCGTCCGCAAGGCCGTGCAGGTGGGGCATCCGAGGAGCCTCTATGGTAGCTTGCCCCAAGCCATGGAGGAATGTGTCGACGCGTTGCTTGTCATGCCTGAGGCTTCAGTTGTCACTAAGCGTGCGGCATGGCTTGCGCATTGGACGGCTCGTGCCAAGGCCATCCAGGAGAACCCTGATCCTGATTGGCACATCCAAGATCCTGCAATGCGCGCTATCCTTGGACGAAAGAGGCTGCAACTGCTTGATGAGATCCTTTTATCGGAAGGGTACGGCGATTGCACGCTAGCTAGGGACATGCACCATGGTTTTGACCTAGTGGGAGTTGCGCCGCCTTCTGGTGTGCTACCTGGCAAGGTCACTCCTGCTTCTCTTGAGCCTGAGGCCCTTAGTGCCAATGCGTGTCGTGCCAATGATGCCTTGCGTGCAAGTTTGCGTTCTTGTGGCGATCCGGAGCTCGATGAGAAGCTTTGGGAGAAGACCCTGCTGGAGGTCGAACAAGGATGGTTGCAGGGACCGCTCGAGTGGTCTGACTTAGGCCCGGGGGAGATAGCATCACCCCGCTTTCCTTTGTTGCAGAATGGCAAAGTGCGCCCGATCGACGACTACTCTCGATCTGGCGTCAATAGTTGCGTAACCACACTTGAGCAGCCAACCGTGGACACTGCCGACGTGGCAGCCGCCATGTTCAGCAAACTCTCGAACGGCTTGTTGCGCAAGGGGAGGTCAGGTGCTCTCCTAGGTAGGTCTTACGACTTGACATCCGCATATCGACAGCTATGTGTGTCGAGGGAGTCGTCACGCTTTGCCATAGTGGCGGTGTTCTGCCCAAAGGATGGGAAATCATACCTATTTCGCCAGCCTTGCCTACCATTTGGGTCGCGTGCATCAGTCAATGGTTTCATTAGGTGCTCGAGGTGCATCCAGTGGATCGCACTCCGGTGCTTGCTTGTGCCGCTGACGTCCTATTACGACGACTTCATATCTGCGTCAACATGCGCTCTTGCTGCCAACACCGACACGACTATGGCGATGCTGTTTCGCCTATTGGGCTGGCAGTATGATGAGGTCGGTCCAAAAGCTGACGTTTTTAGTGACCGGGTTGAAGCCCTCGGGGTGGCCTTTGATCTTTCCGAGACATGTTCCGGTGTGGTCATCGTGGACAATACCCTCAGAAGGAAAGATGCTCTAGACAGCCTAGTTAGCGAAGCACTTGCAAGGGGGACCCTCAATCATTCTCAATCGCTCGAGATGCGCGGCAAGCTGGCCTTCGCTGATGCACAGGTCCTCGGTCATTCGGGGAAATTTGCTTTGAAGTTGCTGTCTGCGCATACCCATGCGATTCCTTTCAAGACGCGCATTGCTGATGACTTGAGCCGTGCTCTGAAGTACTTGAGACAAAGAATCGTTGAGGGCTCTCCCCGGCGTGTGTTACCAACTGCCAAGGACACGTGGTTCCTTTTCACCGATGCATGTTTCCACGACGCTGGTGATGGTGGTTTAGGCGGGGTGCTGGTGTCTTCCCTAGGTTCGGTGAAGTCGTGGTATTGCCTTCCTTTGTCAGCCGATGACATCCAGCCGCTCATTTCCCACACAGCCCGCACCGGGATTGGCGAACTCGAGACAATGGCGACCTTACTTGGCATCCAGCTATGGAGGGGCCATCTACGGAGCACCAACGTGGTAGCTTTCAATGACAACGAAGGCGCCAAGTTCGCCTTGGTCAAGGGTTACTCCAAATCCATGTCAGTCACCAGGATTTGCCACGTGTGTGCGACTCTTTGTGAGACCGACATGATCATGCCTTGGTTCTGTCGTGTTCCCTCAGCATCCAACATTGCCGATCCGCCTTCACGCAGTATGTCCTGCGATGCCTTACCCGAAACCTTCAAGCTGCCCTGTGATCAGGTGCGGCGCGCGTACCTTAGCTTGAGGGGTCGAGTCTGCAGTATGCTCTCGTAGCCTGGATGGGGGTGTAGGTGGCAACTCGAGCGACTGCGCTCTCTGGCAGCAGAGATTTTGGGAGTGCCCACTTTCTCTTGCTATATGCAAGCACTCTTCACCGTGCCACGCCCCCGTCTGTGTAAAAAAGAGAAGGGTTGTCCGAGTGATTGCATGCTTTCATTCATGTTCTTGTCTCTCACTCTTTTGTCGGGGGATGTGATGTTTTATCTAATTGCTTCCGTGTTTTTAGTTGATCGACAACTGGGCGATCTAAACTCTGGTGTGCCTTCCCAAGTATACCGAAAATAATACACCTTTTACCTTATTCTTGCGTATACAAATTATTCACTCTTTCTACGGGGGCGTTTATCTCTTTCATTTTGCTCCCTTGGGCTGAAGGCGGAGGAGGGAGAAGGGGACGAAGAGTCGAAAGGCGTCAAGGAAGGTTAACAAACAATGTGGATTGTTCTGCGCGTTTGACGCGTTAGGCCGTGAGCCGTGGCGATGAAGACTATTCGAAAAGTATGACCAAGGCAGTCGTAGTGAGTTTTTCCGAGGAGCTTTTGCAAATGCGGTGTGGAATATGGCATGTGTGAGACGCAGACGAGCTGGCGCGTTTGAAGGCTGCGCGGCCGCGTGCCCGGAGCAATGCAGACAGTTTTCAGGAAAACTGGACATCGCAATTGAAGCAGGCCATGGAGTATACGACCAGCGTGGACCTGAAAGCCCCAGAAACCAGCTGGCAGCCGTACAAGAAGAGAACGCAGGCAGCTGATCTGAATGAGCAATTGCAAAGGCGACAGCGACGAATCCGGCTGCGGGTGCATGTTGCATATGGACACATGGAAAGTGCTATGATCATGCAATGTATCAACATGTGCATGGACCAACGCGGCATGGTCTGTGAACGGCCTGTAATGAGGCATTCTATGGTTGGCGTTTCGTGTGCTACTTTGGTTGCACACTAAAGTTGAACAAATGATCGTATGCAAACGCATGTCGTCACTCGCGACGGGTCTCAGTCTGACACCCTTCATCACCCCAGGTGTACAATAGCTCTTGGACAAGCGTGTTTTCTTGAAGCGGCCACCGAAGTTCAAGCTGAATTAGCAGAGTTCGGTTTCTTTTCAGCTCCATGAGACATTCGTGAGGAAAGGCAACAACCAGAGGATCGATGCTTCATCTTGTGATCCTGTTTTTTGTCTCGAGAGAAGGCGGAGGCATCAGCACAAAGTGACCGCGATGATATTTCATGTCGGAACATGGTGAAATGTCACGGATATATGCTATGTACGTACGTGTATATGTATATATTCTGTTGGAAGACAATACACCAACGACTTCGGAAGGGTGGGCCTGTGGGACATTCCTTTGAGGCCACAGCAGAGAATCACGGGTGCGCCCCAGAATCACGGGTGCACTGTATTCATTGAATCTTCAGTGATAGCAAAAAAGGCTGTAGGGGCTGGAGACATCTGGAGAGAATCCCTTCATAAGCCTTCTTGTAAAAGAAGAGTTTGGTCATTCCTGGGCAGTGCGGTGTGCTGAGATCCGCTCTGTCTCACGTTTTCGGCTGGTTGACGAAGGGCAACGTGCGTGGCATGTGGATGCGTGGCATGTACCCTCAAAGTTGCTTGCGGAAGGATAGGTCAGCTTTCTGTATGTTGCCCGGATGTGTTTTCCACTGGAACATCCCTTGCTGTTGTCGAAAGAGCAGCAAGAACGCTGAGCTTTGGAATTTAAAGCCCAGCAGTGCTGCAAGCACTTCCAGAATCCATTTTTTTTTGCACCTTGTGTATCATTCATGGGTTTTTTGTGCCCATCCCCACAACATTTGTTTTGCCTTCACGCAGCCTCAGATTTCCGCAAGCCGCAGGTTCAAGTAGTCGAAGCACATTGACATGGCGTGTGCATTGGTGAGTGATGCGGTTGATATATTGCTGTTTCCAATCAGTCGAAACACATGGGTTTTAGACCTCAAGTCTGTTTTTAAGTTGGTTCGGTTTGATAGACCCAATTTCAGATCTTTGCCGCCACCATGGCCGCAGAGGAGAATGTGGCAGTGGCAGAAGTCAAAGAGTCCAAAGAGTTCCACAATGGCTTCTGCGAGGCTGGGGCGTGCAGATTCTCATAGTGCCCAACATCCAAGTGCGGCAAATCCAGATCCTGAAGTCGGAGCTGGCCGTACTGCATGGGTCTTTGTTGATGTCCTAAAGTTTGTATGGCTTAGCTGCCTCCAAACCTGAGATGCCAAGTTAAGGCCCAATTTTTTTTTCGTTCGCTTTCGGTTGCATGCCCTTGTCCGAACTCCCAGCCATTGCAGGTCTGCCAGCGGGAGGGCCGCGTATTGTTCTGCGAGAGCTGCACCAGGGCATTCCACGTGGCATGCATCGAGAGGTCTGGGCAGTGGTGTCTTAGTGAACTTTCTTTGCCGCGGCACTTGCATCAAGTGGCCTGCTCAAGTGTGCATTCTGCTTCATGTGCTTCATGAGTCGCCCGCTCACCCCTCCGCCATCCATTGCGCCGGTGTTGTTCTACATCTCCTGGCTTCATAGAACCCGAGACTTCTGTGTCATAGGGCGCCTTTCCAATCCTTGAAGCTTCAGGCCACAGGCTAAGCAAGCTCAAGCCGGAAGCACCTTGAACACCGGCGCTTGGAACGCCTCAGCCCGTTTGCGATTCTAAACCCCTTTCCTACGCTTCTAAAATGCAGGTTCGTGGACCTCCAAACACTGGGGATCCAAGAGCACTGGGTGTGTCCCGTGTGCGCGGAGCCCGGACAATCCCGGACAATCCCAAGCTCCAAGGTCATGAGGTTTCAGCTTTAGGGCAAACTGGCAAGTACCAGAACGAAAGCTGTTGAGTTCGGGGTTCTCGATATCTGGGTTGAGTTGGGCATGAATAGCAGCGGTCCGTGGCAGCCGACGTTTTGGGCCTGAAGTTCATGAAGCCTCGATCTCGAAGACTCCAATGCTCGAAGCAGCAAAGCGCCTCCAAAAGTTGCTTGAGGCGTCCATGGCCCAGAAGTGCTTCTCAGGGGTTACAAGAAGCCACAGCTCACCCAGGAGACACGGAGAGAGATTGGGGGTTGCAGCTTGTTAACCCTGAACTTGGAGGTTCGGGCGGGGTTGATGGCCTTCGGATTCGGTGACCTCGCGGTTCCGTCTGGAGCTATGTGTGGCGTTGTTGTTTTTTTTGGTTGATGTTTTTTTGTATCGGCGCGTTCCACCCCCGGAACTTCCAAGCCCAAACTTTCTGTGAACCGCAGCGCGAAGCCTTCCGAGGAGCAGATGCAAGCTGTGAGCCCGGAACGTTCAGGGGTCGTGAAGGGGTCTTGGCGGGTTGGTCAGTGGCCAGATTCTTTTGGTTTGGGGGGTCTGGGGTATCGATGACATGACTGACAGGCATGACGTTCATCAAGTTTTAGTGGTTTCCCTGATTGCAGGCGTCCGGGTGGTTCAAAAACAAATTTCGGGCAGACACAGGCAGAACCTGTGGTTCCTTCCCCGACGAGCACGGGTGCAGGAAGCAAGTTCAGGTACCCAGATGTCAAACATGCGACTTTCCCTTGTAATTTGAAGGCTGTCCCTGGTGCTCTCAAGCTTGGTAGATGCGGCCTGTGATCACGCCCACACGATCACGTCGATCCAGCATGTCCTTAACCCTCCAAAGCCCAGTCCTTGAGCCATCACCCTCCGCCCAGAGAGACTTGCTGCGCCATGCTACGCCCTTCCCGCGCCCGAAGCCTTAGAAGACCCACTGAGCAGGGCTTCTGCAACCTCCTCTTCCTTTTCTCCTGGATTTTGCGTCTTGCAGCCATGGCCGCAGCTCCTGCTTCTGCTCCCCCAGGCCCTGATGGTCGGAGGGCTGTTGCAGTTAGAGGGCGCAACGCCCATCCTGCAGGTGATGTCGGTTTGTGAGGGCTTCAAGCACGCCATGCTCCCTGTTCTTGCATCCCAAGCTGCAAAGTCCCTGAGAACTCGCATGCAAGCGTTTCCGGGCTGCAAGGACCGCCTGCAATGCAGGCACTCTGCTGGGGGTACCTGGGGCGTGCCACTTTCGTTTGGGAGTTTTGGCTTCTTAAGTTCTTGGCAAAGGTTTGTGAAGGGGATGGTTGGAGGGAACGTGTCTTGGGTTTCCTTTGAGGACCACTTAAGGTTGTAGTGGAGGGTTTCGGTTGTGGGCTGGGCCAAAGGAGCATGGATTCCCAGTGAGCGTTGGGGCCTGTTGTCGCGTGGACCAGGATGTTACGCAACCGAAGCTGCAAAACTTGCATGAGATCTTGACGTGATCCGGAGCTCTCTTGAAACTTCCCTTGTAAGGCTCACTCCCTTTGTGAAGCCCGCCCTCTTGCCAGGACTTCCTGGCCCTCGCCTCCTCGTACTTTGCGGGAGAAGACTTCGGCGCGCAGCCGCGGTTTGTGGTCCAGGTGCCGAGTATATTAGTCTAGGGTTTAGGGTTTAGGGTTTAGGGTTTAGGGTTTAGGGTTTAGGGGTTGAACTGCGGGAAGGTTCATAAAGTTCACAGCCGATGAGAGGGTGTATCTGGGGCCCTCGATCGAGGCACCTTAGAGTTAGAGGCTTTGCAGGAATGAGTCGGAATGAGACAATGTGCCTTGAAGCTGTTGGGCCTCAACAGCCCTTCGGTTGTCATGCCCTACCTAGTTAGGCATTTGGGAGGTTTGGAAGCGCTGCTCCCCCCCTTCCACGGTGTAGAGGCCGGTTGTGGCGACGGCCGGCTCCTCGTCCAGCTCTTCGAGCTCGTCAAGGCTGATTTTTGTCTTCCTCTGGGCCGATTTGTGCGCCTTTGAGTTTTTCTGAGGGGGTCGGCCTGACAGGGTTACCAGCAAAGATCCTGGAAGGAGATGCCCCGGGGCAAGGTGATGAAGGTGGCTCGCTGTCACTGGGGGTGTTAGTTAGTTGCCAGGCGCTGTCTCAGCGGTATTGTGCTTGCGAAGGGACAAAGCCCCAACCCCAAGCTGCCCGAGCTTTCGAACCGGCTGAGTTCATCTCTGGGCCTCAACTTTACCAGTACGCTCCAAACCCCAGGTTGTCGACATCATGGCCTCAGCCCCACAAGCCACAAGCCTAGGAGTTTCCACTGACCATGGTGGGCATTGGCAGCGACGAGGCAGAAGCTGAGTGGCTGTAAGTTTGCAAAATTTTTTATAGCCGATTATAGCCCTTCCTGCCAAGCACCTGAAAGCTTTTTTCATGCCAGGAGAGCCTCGTGGCTCCGAAGATCGGTATGTGCGCCAAGCGCATCCCTCACAAGGCCCAAGGATGAGTTGCCCTGGAGTCGGGGCTGAGCCAGCAAGGGCTTCGGAGGTAGATGTTGTTTTTGAGATGGCTGCCCTCGTTTCCAGCATCTTCCCTGTCATCATTGCTTCGCGATTACGCGAGTTAAGCCTTTGGCTCGAGGTTTCAGTGATGGGGCTCGGACTTCGCGAAGAATTAGTCGCGGGACCCTACATGGGGTCCGCACCTTTCAGATGTTGACCTCCCGTCCTATCCCGTTGCTGGAGGTGCTGACAGGCGACACCAGCAGCCCAGCTGCCATTGCGGCTGCCTTGCTGCTTGGAAGTCTTAAGCTGCTTGAAAGTGCACAGGCATCCGACATGTGCCGGCGCAGAAGCCAAGACCCATCACAGCATGAGCGAGCTCGCCTTCATATCATACCATTTGCATTCCTGGAATCCAGGGACGGAGTTGAGAGTCCCAGAGAAGGCACCCCAAGAGAGTCCAAGGAAAAAACAGAAGATCGACTCCCAACGGACGCTTCTTCTGCAGGTCGGAGTTGATCTCGTGGGAGTGTTGGGTGTATCCTTTTGCACACTTTGCCTGGCCCTCCTGCCGTAAATGAGCAGAGTGCCCTCAGCACCTTTCAAGCATTTTCAAGCCAAACTTTCAAACCCGAAGGCCAACTCAGCCTAAAGGAAAGCGGCCAGGTCTGCCAGGACCGCCCACGGCGCAAGGCAGCAACCCTGTCCAGCCCGACCGCCACCTTCGCGAAGAAGGCAGGGAACCTCGGGAAGCTCGAGATCTGCAAAAGTTCGGGGCAGGATGGTTGGGATGTGGGGTGAGCCCTAGCTGAACGCTTCAAAGTTTCGATGGTGCTGCAGGCCATGGGCGACGTGGCTGACGGCGAGGCGCCGCTTCACCACCTCATCTCAGAAGGGTATTTCCCGTGTTACGGAAGGGCACTGTCAACCCATCTTCACTCGGCAGGTGCTCTTTGCAGCTCTGCTCGAGGACCCAGGGCGTTTGTTTTTGGAATGTTTCGGATAAAAGTTATGGACACAAGTCTTGACGAAAGTCTGGGCAAGTTGCCTCTGGAGGATGCTCAGCACAGCTTCGAACTCTCCGAGCGAAGTATGGGCCTGTGTCTTGCCGAGGCGGATTTCCAGAACATGCCGACACAAAGCCTGTTGCATGTCGGTTGTTGATTTGGAGGAATCACAGCAAGGGTTTCTGGTCGAGCGTCTTCACGCCTGTGCAGCCGTCGTAGCGTACATCCACCTGCACAGCCAGTTGCCTCCTTTTCTAGAATGTCGGCCTCGCCTTGGGGTGCACTCTGTGGGTTTCAGAGCCGAAGATCTTGTGAAGGGCTTCTGCTGTCTGCAGCACTCGCAGGTGCAGTCCCACTCGTCGGGGCCGCTCTGCAAATTCTTCGGGGAGTTGATGGTTCTGGGATTTCTCTCTCTCTCTCTCTCTCTCTCGCTCTGTCGCTCTGTCGCTCTCTCTTTCTCTCTCTCGTTTGCTCTCTGGCTCTCTGGCTCTCTGGCTCTCTGGCTCTCTGGCTCTCTGGCTCTCTCGCTCTCTCGCCCTCTCGCCCTCCCGCCCTCCCGCCCTCCCGCCCTCTCGCTCTCTCGCTCTCTCGCTCTCTCGCTCTCTCGCTCTGTCGCTCTCTCGCCCTCCCCTCCCTCCCTCACTCGCTCACTCACTCACTCAGACCTTCTGCGCCCAGGGTTGGTCGCCTGCAGGAAAGCAGGGCAGAAAGAAAGAAAGAAAGAAGGTGCAAAAGGGTCGGCAGGCGGAGAGGAAACAGGAGAATGCCCGTTCAACGACCCAATGCGTAGCTTCTTGAACGCTATTATGGTATGCAAAGCCCACCTCTGTGATTGGATGCCTTTTCTACAGGGACTCCCAGAATCCTTTTCTCAAGTGACTTGTTGCTGGGCTCTTCATGTTTACTCCTTCTCTCCGTAAACTCTGTTGCTTGCAACTGCCTTTCAAACTTGATTTGCGTTGATCGAGCTTCTTTTTTTCTATCAGGGCGCAGGGTTTACCAGTAAGGTTTGGGGTCTTGGGGCTTCAGGGCTCTTGCAGTGGCGTGTTGAGTGTGATTCCCGAGTATGTATGTCTCACCTTTGCCCTTGGCTTCCTTGTAATTCTTTAGGCTGCTGCGCGGATGGCCGCAGGTCGTAGGCGTTTGGACAACCGTCTGGTAACGGAGTCAAAGGAATCGAAGAAAAGGGTTGCAATCGGGCCCCATATGCTGTTTCATTGCCCCCTCTGCAAAGTGGGGGTTTCCGAAAGTAGGGGTGCCTTCTGGGCAAGGGATCCCACTATTCGGGGACATTGGGGGTCCCCTATTTTCGTAAGCTACCTAAACCCTAAACGCCTAAACGCCTAAACGCCTAAACCCTAAACCCTAAACCCTAAACCCTAAACCCTTAGGCCCCAAACTCTAAACCCTAAACCCCAAACCCTAAACCCTTAGGCCCTAAACCCAAAACCTTAAACCCTTAGGCCCTAAACCCTAAACCAACCTAAACCCCAAACCCTTGCACCCAAGGCCCAGCACCCTGGTGGCCCCGCCCGTGGCGCTGGCGATGGCCTCGGCCATGGCCGGACTCTTCCCCCAGGCTCCCTTGGTTGGGGGGTTTTTGATGGGGTTGGGTTTAGGGTTTAGGGTTTAGGGTTTAGGGTTTAGGGTTTAGGGTTTGGGGTTTAGGGTTGAGGGTTTAGGGTTTAGGGTTTAGGGTTTAGGGGTTGAAGGTAGTTGAGGAGCCTTGCCCTCTTCTGGCAAGAAAGTTGGGGCAGGGTGGGTGTGGCTGTTCGTTGGAGAGTCGTTTTGGGGTTAAGGGGCAAGGATTCTGTGGTGCACTTTTCAGGGGAACTTGAGAGTCTTTGTGGGTCCCGGCTTTGAGGGGTGTTGGGGGTGGTGTGGGTTTGGGTCACTCGGGTTCCAGAAGCTCCTGCGCAACAAGCATGAATCTGCCACGAATCTTGGACTCACCCAAAAGAAGGCAGACAAAAATGCGGGGCAAGTCGGGGTCTGCCGTGCAGGATGTGAAGTTGGCGCAGCCTTACCCCATGAGGGACGAGCCTTCCGACGGCAGTTCGTGGGTGTTCGGGGGCTGCCTTGCCTTGCTCGACTACTTTCAAGTTCCGGGATGCTGGGATGATGTTGAAGGGTTGGTCATATCTGGTCCCAACTGTTCTGGGGGCCTTTTGATGTTCCAACGACGGGCTGCAGGCCCAAACCAAACACACAACAAAACACACAACAAAACACTGGCACTCGGCAGGGCGGGCGACTGCGACGTCTTTTGCCAGGCAGGGATGCGGGTTGGCTTCAGGGTTTGCTGGACTCGTGTCATACATTGCACTGGCAGTCAGTAACATTGCCAACCGTACATACATACCGTTCATACCATAATTACAATACTTGCCATTCAGGCCGTACATACGAAACATACAACGTCTACACCGAACCATAGACATACACATGCACATGCACTTGCACATACACATACACATACACACGCGGATACGTACACAGACGTACACGCGCATACACTGCAAGAGACAAGTACGGATGCACAGGCACACCCGAATGTACATTCGCATTCACATGCAGATGTTCTTTCAGACGCCGAAGTCGAGTTCATGCGGTGAAGGTACTCACGCCGCGGAACTTCCGAGTGCGATTTGCAGTGCCTGATGATCTGCCCGCCCTGGAAGTGCTGGAGGATGGCTGGGGACGCTGAAATTGTTTCATCCATCCAAGACCACCGAAGCGCATGTAACTAGATGGTGCCGGGGCTTGCTTCTTCTCGACTTGGACACGGTAAGCTCTGGGGCTTGAACTTTGAGTTTTCTTGTGACGCTTGAGTTAGAGGCAGGGCCTTGATTGCCGCTGCAGGAGATGGCGTGGAAGAAGCACATGCGCACTCCCAGAGAAGGCGGCGGCCGGGGTTAGACAACGCGTGACGACACGCTCTGCGCAAAACAGTCTTGGTCTTGTGGCATCTCCTTGAGTCCAGTCCAGCAAGCCCAGAGCCCGAAACTTGAGTCTTCCAACAGGAACCTGGTATTCAACAGGCTTTCGGTTCGTCATGCGCAGATTACGAGAACAAATCTTGGGCCCAAACGAAGGCGCTGCGCAGTCCCACAAGCCTGACGTACTTGTCCCTCTCCCCTGATCCCTCAAACCGAGGGCCTCATCACCCCTCAACTTGCTTGAAGACGCCTCAATTTTCCCTCCCAAGCCAGGTCTGCTCAAGCGCCTCCAGACCTCACCGACCACCAACTTCGCTTTGGAGGTGGACGGGGAGGCCGGTGACTTTCAACCACCGTCAGCAGCCATCAGCATTTCCCGGTAAAGCCTCCACAGTCCTGAAGCGCACTTGTCAGATGCTGCCCGGAACTTCCTGGCCCAGGTGCGGGCCGTGCTCTACACGCAGCGGATCCGCAAGCCCGAGGATGCGGCTTCCCCGGTGACAAAAACCCACTGTTTTTCTGTGGGGGGTTGTTCGGCTCGTCATATCCCAAACTTCGACAGCAGAACATGCACTCATGCACTCCAGGCCCATGCTGAAGCAGCAGTCCGACCGCCTATCCCAGTCATCCTTGAAAGAAGTAGATGAGAGATTCCAAGCGAGGTCTATCGGCAGAAGCTCCAGCAGGCAGCAGCTGAAGACGCCATGCTTCGCGTTGTTTGGTTTTTCGGGGTTTGGGGAAGGGCTCAGGCCTAGGTGGGTTTAGGGACTCTGGGATATGGTGGGCTTGAAAGTGGCCTGCGCACGCAGCGGAGAGATCGCCGTCAACGATCCGGAAGCCAGTATGCGATCATCCTGGAGATGATTGATCCAGCAACACCCTCTCTTCGAGAGGTCTTCGAGGGCCACGTGGAGGGCGGCCCGGTGCTGCAGCTCATCGCCATCCACGCGCACACGGACCACAGGCGGGGGAACGGACGCCCTCTTCTCCGTTTCGTTCGTGTCTGTTCTCTTTATGGTCCTTTCTTGTATGTCCCTGATGGCCTTCAGAAGCTGCGCCCCCTCCTGCGCAAGACAGGGGCCCTGCAACGTAAGGAGGCTCCTCCTCTTCCCTGTTTTTGTAACAGCCCACACTTAGGGGCCTGGGGACCGAGCTGCGCAGCTTCGCCCTCCACCTGGTGGGCCTCGGAGTGTGAGAGTTCTTAAGGGTTGCCTTGGGTTGCCTTGGGCCTTTGGTGATGTGGCACATTCTGGGCTTAGAACGGGCCTGTTACTCGTGCTAGAAAACTCAGGGCTCAGTGACGCATCACGGATGCGTTTTGGTGCTGGCGAGGCCCGCCTGGATCCGACCATTGAGTCTGTGTGTGCTGTCACCCTGCGCCCAAGAAGCATCTGGATCTTCAGGAGGGCTTTTCTTGCGGGTGAGCCTTGTGGCCCCGCAAGCGAGGTTTGTAAGTTTGTTTAGAAACGTCCCATATTAGTTTGTTCTTGCTAGCTGGAGCGCATTTGTGCGTTTAGGTGCCACGACTATGCCAGCAGCGGGGTGAAGAACATGCAGCAGTACGTGGACGGGAGTGCCAGAGTTGAACCCTCTCAACCCCAAAGCCCCGGTACGGAGTTTGCATGGACCATACGGATCGACCAGAGCTTGAGACGTGAGCACGTAAGCCTGTGTCGAAGACCCGGCGCTTGGCAGCTTGGAGTTCAGCGCCCCGAACAGGACATGCACCTCAACGGCAGGGTCAACGACCGAATCCTCACGTTCCTCGGGCACACATCTTCTGTAGTGACTCGATAGTGCTGAGGTTCAGGGTGTGGGTCGAAGCTTCGATGCTTAGCTTTCTCCCAAGTCCCCGGCGCGAGCTTTAGGGCCCCGAGACAGGGACGCTCGGAAATCCCAAAAAAGCGACAAGCTGGTGGCTTTACCAGCTTCTGCTCCCCTGTTGCTAAGGTTCCACACCAGCTACGGCGCCAAGGTGCTGGGCCTGGTTCCCGGCTACCGGCCGGAGGTGCTCCCCGCGTGTACTTGGGGTATCTTGGGGTGCCCCCTAAAATGCACTAACGTATTCACACGTATTCATGTACTTCGCCTGCATGAGAAGATCATGATTCTCGCTGGCGATGCGATAGTACGAGGGTTTTCCGACCCAAAAGTTCGGTTATTGAGGGCCGTTGAATGATACTGTATGATACTGCAATGCTGAGGTGAGAAGCTCCTAAACATAAGACAAAATGGCTTGTTCGTCGCTCATCTCATTCACGATTTTTGGATATTAGGGGATAAGAACCGCAACGGTTGTAGCATGTTGGGTGTTGGGAGGTGTTGGGGAGGTGTTGGGGAGGTGTTGGGGAGGTGTTGGGGAGGTGTTGGGGAGGTGTTGGTTGGTATTTTGCCTACTTCCGTCTCCCAGCCCTCGAGCCGCAACAGGACTTCGAGAACCAAGCCACGGGGGTGCTGATCCAGTACAAGTCGCCGCCTCGGTGTTGGGCTATGGGTTGCGGCTTCTGAAAAGGCACAGCCGCCCATTCAACCCCCCCCCCCCCGACGTGGGGATTTCCCAAAATAGGGGTACCCCTTTTATACCTCCTTTTTGAAGGAACCCCCCACCAAAAAAGGTGCCCCCCTTATAGCCGGAAACTCTCGAAGTCCTTCCCACAAAGCCACCCGAGGCCGAAGGACTGGGTCTTCGAGCCCACTCCCAGCCAGGAGGAGAAATCGGACGCCAAGCAGGAGGTGGCCAAGAAGAAGGCGGCACTCAGGGAGAGAAGGCAACTTAGAAGGGATGCGCTTCTCCAAGAAGGGGGGCATCTGGAGGCATACTACAGAAAGTGTTCCGTTATTCCGGTATCTTGAGGCGTGCTCTTGGGGAGTCTTCCCGGCACAGCTCCTACGCCGCGCCGGGGGGATCATCGGGGGGGAGGAGCCCACGACGTCCTCGCTGGAGATCCTTTCCTCGATCATGACGGAAATGGGCTACGTGCCTCGGAGCTTCAATGCGGAGATCTTTCCTCCCAAACATCCCCCCAACTCTTGGGCTTCCGGGGTCGCGGCCGGGATGCCAACAAGCTCATCAGGTCACGAAAGCTGCCCCCGTGGAAGCTCGGAAGCTCGCGATATCGTTCTTGTTTGCCCTAGATGGTAAGAGAATTCAGAGGTTCTCCACACTCACTGGCCCTTCTCTGTCCACCTCTCCCTGCTTTTCTGCGACCATTTTCGAGGCATAATTCAGAGAACTTGATCCCGGAGCCCGAACCCCCCAAAACCTTCCAGTGCCTCAACCCCCACAAAGGGCCTCAAAGCCCTTCAAGGAAGTCGACATGGACAACTTAGACCAGGGCTTCTTCTCCAGTGGACTGGACTCCTTCGACATGGGAGTCATTCAGAACAGGCTGTTCGGTCGTAGAACAGGCATATCAGGCATAGAGAGGTTCAAGACGCTGTTCAGAGCCACGAGTTGGGCCTTGTGGTTATGCAGCAAAGGGTGGCCAAAAGCAGGAGGATGCTGGGATGCGAAGCCCCCCAAAACCCCGAGCCAGGCACTCAGCCTCCCCGTTCTTGGCGCAGGTTGGGGCGGGCCCTGGGTCGGACACTGCCGGCGACGTTGATGTTGGACCTCCCAACGGTGAAGGCCGCTTGCCCAAGGGCATGTTTAAGGCCCATGCTGTGGCGCGCGAGTTCCTGTGCCGGGGTTTCCTGCAAGGGGGGTGGGGAAGGCGCAGCCTGGCTGGCAGACACAGAACGACAGGGGTGATAGGCCCATCTCACGCTGTCTTCTACTTCAGCGCGTGGCCCCCTTCCGACAGCCCGTTCCCACTTCACAAAGCGTCCTTCGCCCAAAATCCCTTTCTCCCTGAGCTCCAAATATGTGTGTTTCCCTGGAAGCCCTTCGCCTCCAGAGGAGCTCACCGAGCACCTGGACAAGGAGCGGGGCGTCAGCGGACAAGGCCCCAAGTGCGCGAGGAAGACTCTGCAGCTTCAGCTGTCGGGAGCTTGGGCTTCAACGTCTTGGCTCGTGCAGCAGGTTTAAGGTAAGGAAGTGATAGCAGGTTTAAAGTACAGGAAGTGATAGTGTCTCCAGGTGGCGCGCCTGACACGCACACGAGTCGTCATAATCGATGTTTCCGTGGGGCCCGGACGCTCTCGCCTAGGTGCCGTGCAGGCTGTGAGCCCGCCAACGTCGCAAAACATCCAAAACATCGCACAACAATCTTGTCTTTCCCTCTTCCCTAAACCTTAAACCCAAAAGCCCAAACCAGACTAAGATCTTTACATGCAGTGCCCCAAAAGCTGCCGCGTGTCCATCCGGTTTCTTGTAGGTGCCGCCGAAGCCGAAGCCGTGGTGGAGGCTTTGAGTTCGTAGTGCGCTGCAGCCGGCAGGGGTTGGGGTTCTTCCGAGGGCTCTACCAGAGCCGGTGATTGAGGACTTGAGAAGAAGTGCAAAAGGGGGCTTTCCGATGTTAGTGGGTACCTTATTGGGGTCTGCATTATATGGGAATCCTACTATTTATGGGGGGTCTTGTTTTGGGGCCCCCTGTGTTCGTAGACCCCCACATCTCGATCCGAGCCGCTGGGGCTGGAGTCCTCGAGCCGTGGAGGTGGTCGAGGAGCGACGGGAGCGCCCGGAGCGCCGAACCGAGCCTTGCCCATGCCTGCAGGAAATCTGTGGGTTCACGATATTTGGGGGGGTACCTTATTGGGGTCCTTATTTTCAGGGAGCCTACTATTGGGGTCTACAGTTGGGTTGGAGATGGGAGGTACCTTATTGGCGGGAGCCTACTATTGGGGTCTACACCTATTTTCGTCACCCCCAAATCTGGCTTTTTGGGTTGGAGGGAGGCCGTAATGGGCCACAGCTATGGAGACTTTGAAGGATGCTTGGAGCCATGCAAACACCGAGTTCGGGGCCTAAACGCCCCTGAGCCACGCTTGTTCCATTCTCGGACAAATGAGGGCCCCCTGCCTCGGCCCCTGAAGTGCTCTTACGGTACATCTTCGACCCCCAATTGCTGGGGACACCAAAGCGGTTTGCCAAGGAGCCCTTTAGGGTTTAGGGTTTAATTCGGGTTTAGGGTTTTAGGGTGCAGGGGTGTAGGGTTTATTATGTTCCTCATGTGTTTTTCTGGTGTGTGTGTGTGTGTGTGTGTGTGTGTGTTTGGGGGAGGGGGGGGCGGGAATGTACCTAGACAGAATCTACTTTTGAGTTTTCAAGACCCTAAACCCTAAACCCTAAACGCCCAAACCCAATCATAGAAGATGTGATTTTCATATAGACTCCCAAGAGAAGCTTGGCGTTGGGGCAGCTGTTTGGGACCACGGCTCGCGCGCAGAACCTCCTAAGGACGAGTCCAGACAGATCGTCGCTCACTCAGAATCGGCATTGGTGGGCCAGGCGTGCAAGCCGCTCACAGAAGATGGACAGAAGCGCAAGAAGAAGATTGCGGGCGCTCAGAGGTTGCAGTCTGATGAGGCCAGACGCTCTGCGGGCCCCCAAATAGGACTGCGGGTTCCGTTGGCCCCCGAGGATTGCGGGGTCTGCCGACTCCAATCGGAGGCGAGACGAGGCGAGGCGCCCCGGGCCGCGCCCCCAGTAGGGACAGTCACCACAGTCCCTCCACTGAGTCATCTCGAGACTCGGAAGGCCAGGGGCTCAGTCAAATTTGACCGCTTGTACAGGGATGATGCCGCTCCTGTCTCTCTTCAGATTTTGCAGGAGATCTCACCTTGGGTGAAATAGGTGCCAACTAGACTACAGGAGCGTCTCCTGTGCAGAGTCTTAGCGGAGAAGGTTGGAGACCTGGATAAGGCGCTCGCCTCTACATCCATCCTATGCCCCGGCTTCTTGTTGGACGGCGCAGACTTTTATTTTGTTTCACTCTAGGGGTCCGGGATCACAGGTGCCCTTGGCCCTGAGGCGCTCCTGTCGCTCACAGAAGCAGGACGGTGAGGCCAGACGAGGTGTCGCTCACGCACAAGGACCGCGGGTGCCTACGCTCGCAGAATTCGAAAAGTGAGGTAGGTCAGACATCGAGGTCACTCACAAGAAGGGATTGCGGGCGCCCAGGGCTCCCAATCCATTGAGGCCAGGTGCTCCAGCCGCTCACTCCACTATGAAGCCAGGCGACCAGAGGGTTGTTCATTTCAGAAGGCTGGATGCCAGCGCTGCCCCCCGACAGCCCTGTCCCGATAAGGACGAGGAAAGGTGTCTTCTCAAAGCGGCTCACAGCGAGCAAAGATATTCCTCCAAAAAAATGGCAGCGCTGCCAGGTCGCACGGGTGACAAATGGTGCACATGCGCCTATGGGAGAGGCTAGCCGCCATTCTCCTGCGCGGTTGATCTGCCGTCTTTCCTGAGATCGACTGGGGTTTCTTGCCTGGATACTGAGGAAGTCCAACTCCAGACTCATGGCCACAGTTGTCCCTGGCTTTGGGTGCGCCCCTTGAAGACCCCCCTGGCGGAGGTGAGTGCCTGGGCTTCGTTCTTGAGCCTAGGGGTCCCTGCGTGCAGATGGCGCGGCAGAAAAACAACAGCGCGTGGTCCGCATCTTGGAAGACCTTCGTGATGGTAAGATTGCCAATGCCCTAAAGGTCGGGCTCCAGTGAGCCGCCGGGGCGTGTCCCTGAACGAAGCCTTTCTTACAACCATTGTGGTCTTGGAAGAACGCTTGCTTGATTGCAGGAAGGCCCCGCAAGCTCATTGGGCTCTGGCCGCCTTTTGACAAGGGCTGCCCAAAGAAGCGTGTCGCTGTCCTGGAAATGTTTGGAATGCTGATCCTTTGATGGAGAAGACCCCGGCGTTTGTCCCGAACCTGCGCATCCCACTGGTCGGCGACAACCCGGGGAACGTGTACAAGTCCAAGAAGATGCCCACCCTGATCGTCCTCGTGGAGATCTTACTCCAGCTGCGCCTCCATGGCATGCAGCTGGCTCCCTCCCACGTAAAGAGGGACTTCAACGCCTGGGCAGATGAATTGACTCACCCAGATTTTGTTGGTCTCACCCCTTCGCTTCGCCTAGCGCCTAGCGCATGTGCCTCACCCGTGGGCCTGCGCAAGGCGCCCGGTGAGGATGTGGCTGCCTCCTGGCCGGCTTCTTGTTGGGCGGTGCAGAATCAGTGTAGGGCTCCGGGACAGGTTTGGATGGATTCTTCGACTGAAGGGAGTTGCTCCTGGGAGTCAGCAGCCACACCAATCCACCACGCAAAAGGGAGTGCCTGCCTGCATGGGTTTGGTGTGCCATTTTCATGCGGATATCTGACATATATGTGTGTCGAAAATGACATTGAAACCCAACGCCGAGACATCCCGAATACCTAGCTCAACGCAGAGCCCATATAGCCACAGTCTAGAACTCAAAACTTGAAGCCGTGCTTGTGAGTACCGAAGTGTCGAGGTGAGCTAAAAACGCATAAAATGATTATTTCAAAAATAAAACGATTAATGAATATGTAAACATAAGGAATTTCAGTGGACTTTTCAGAGAGCATACTTTGCCTAGTACAAACACAACTGTATAAATACAGTATTTGCACTTTAAACGCACAGAGGCCTGACACTGACTCAGACATGGACACGGACAGTCTAAGTGGCGACAGCACGGACACAGAAGGCGACGAGCATGCCTAATGCGACGCGGGCGCGGCCTCAAAGCAGGCTCACCGGTGCTTCTAGCGCCATGCTCTCCTTAATGTCCGCGATCTTTGCAGCGGCGCGGTGCGGGTCAGCCCCCGCGCCGAAACACGAGTGCCAGGTCGCAGGGAGTGCAAAAGAGTGCAGCAACGTGGAGCGAGTAGTTCCCTCCTCCAAACAGCATGCTGGCCTTTGCGGCTCGGTGAAGTGATTTTTCTTGTGCTTGCATATTTCATGGTGTACTTTTGTACTTATTCATGTGGCATCGAGTCAGTGATTCATTCGCGTAGCGTGGAATTTTTTTTAGCAAGCAGCGATCATGGATCCACCACGTCGTCGACGGAGTCCGCACGATCGTGCCGGGGCCAGGGCTCGTCGCATGGCAGCCGTTCGCGAGGCAGCGGGAGTGGAGTGCTGAGTGAGCCGACAGACATCGAGTGCGTGGTGTGCAAGGCTTGGCCGGACACCGACGAAGAAAGCGGTTATCCTGGTCCTCATCCCGATGCAGAGGTGTGGACGAAGAGGTCGCTTCGGGGAAGTTCGGGTGTGGCGCTGGCAGGCTGGCAGTGCTCTGGTCTGCGTCGCGTTGCCTATGGGCTGGTGCTTGTGCGCCGCTGGCGGCGGCGCCCGGCGGGGCCACGAACCGCGGGGAGTACGAGGCGGTGCTAGCCGCCGCGTGCCGCGGCTACATGGGGCTGCGCAACCTGCGACCTCTGCCCCAGCGCGCTGAGCGCGGCGCAACCGCAAGCGCTTGCCCCAGTCCGCGTTGCACGCTCGTACTCACTCATCGCTCGCTCACTCTCTCACTCTCTCACTCTCGTCTCTCTTTCTCTCTGTCTCTCTCTTTCTCTCTTTCTCTCTTTCTCGCTTTCTCGCTTTCTCGCTTTCTCGCTCTCTCGCTCTCTCGCTCTCTCGCTCTCTCTCGCTCTCTCGCTCTCTCGCTCTCGCTCTCTCGCTCTCTCGCTCTCTCGCTCTCTCGCTCTCTCGCTCTCTCGCTCTCTCGCTCTTACAGCAGCTTTGATGTTGGCTCAGGGCACATTAGCAGAAGTAGAGTAGCTTCAAGTTCTGGCCATGGCAAGCGCAAACTCGGATTCTTTGAGTGCGCGCTAGTTGACCACACAAGACATAGATGGGCATGAATTGTCATGGCCAGGAAAGGCAGTGATCGACATCACTGCAGAGGTTCAGACACCCTCTAGAAAGATACGCAGACGACAGCATCATAGTCATAGCACGCCAGAGATCGCCTCGCCTGCCGACTTGAAGAAGTTTCCCTGTAAGCTGGAAAGTGGTGTACGAGGAAGCTTGCAAGGAACCTGCCACCTGGAGCTCCTCGGTTTCTTCGGTGCCAGAGCCTGCCGAGCCAAAGGCGACTCCCATGTCGAGCTCCTTCCATGCCTTACCTCCACGTGAGGAGCACTACCGGAGTCTGCGGACACTCACGGGCGGCCGTTGTGGCAATAGACAGAAGGTGCCATGCGATCTCCCGGACGACGTCATGGACAGCCTCATGAGCAGTTTGAGCTTGCTCCCGTCCAAACCCTAGAAGCTCTCTCTGAATGAGCGTGAAATATGATGACATGCGTTGAAAAAACAAAAATCGCACCAGTGTTTCTATGAGTTGCTTATTGAAGTGCCCTTTTTGACTGCTACCCACAAAAACAAAATGATATTTTTAAAATCGCATCTCTGAGACTCCCTCCCTATACAGGAGATCGCCGACGTGGCACGTGCCCGGATTCTTGTCCAAGACAGACAAGGCTTGCTTGGACGCTCTTCCCTTCTTTGTCTATGCCTTGCGCCCCCGGCGCCGGCTGCTTTAGCAAATCCTCCTAAGTTCCCTCTGACCTGTGTTGACTTTGTGTCAACTGGAGGCAACACGACCGTTTTAAACCGCGGCTCTCCTTTCGCCAAGGCTGCTCACCTTCAGCTTTTGGCAGTGGCCACACCCTACTCTGTTTGTGCACAAGGCTATGCCCGAACGTGACGACAAGTCGACGCCCAATCCCCGACTTGTCTTTTGCGAAAGGATTTTCTGCTGAAGATTTCTACGCCAAAGCTGCTTCACGGCCTGAGGCCTTGCCGACCCTTTTCCTGCCTTCCACTGTAGGTGCCGCTGTCCTGCCTTCTCAGCTGCGCGCCGGAAGCGTTCAAAGCCGAGCTGCTGCTCAAGAAACTGGACACTTCGAGGACGGACCTTGAGGTGCGTCGGTTGGTGAGAAGAGCTGGAAAACCAGCTTCAGGAAGAGGTTCTCGCAGTATCCCGGCTCCGAGGCTTGTTGGCAATGTGCAGCCGCCTCCTGGACTGGGAGAGCAGATCCCGGGGCCGGCCGCTGCTCAAGACATCTGGACAGCTTGGCGCAGCAGCGCTGATCTGAATAGATAGATGCCTTCGACGGAGGCCCAGCGCTACATTGTGCGCCTGGATTCTGCAGTCAGGGCGAAGGTGCGCGAGGAAAGCCTCCTCGTGACGAGGCTGCCCTTCGATCGCCTCTTTGGACCGCCGCCCTCCCTGCCCTGGGCACGCGAGGCGGTCCTGTCCTTCTTCACCTCGCATCCCCGCGTACGTGGGGGCCGTGCATTTCCAGGCTCTTGCACGTGCACCTCCCCACAGCGATCTTTCTAAGTTGGTCATGCCACGCTACACCCCGGGCCATTTAGGCTCCTCTCATTTGCCGCCCAGGATGTTCGCTTCTTCCTCGGCCCTTCCCAGATTCCCAGGCCCGTGTCAAGGAATGGGTCCTTTTCCGTTCCGGCCAAGACTGGTTTGCGTCCGGAACCTTGTCCCGGACACCGCTTCGCCTTCTGGCTTACTGCTCCTCTCCGGCGTCGGAGTTTAGCTTGGATTGTTTCGTTGGCCGGACGCGCAAGCCTTCCTTGTCCTCCACCGTGACGAGCCGCCGGTCTCGACGTGGTCCGCCCTACCTCTGCTCCGGAATGTCATCGAGGACATGTTGTAACATAGCATCAGCTGCCTCCTCAGTCAAAAACACGTGCGCCAATGTAGAAGTTCTGCCTTAGAGCCCGTGACCAATTGGGAGCTTCACCCCAGTGGCCCTTAAGTGACCAGCCGCGGTTTGGCGTAGGGTCCACACAGACAAGAAGGTTTTAAGAAACTGTTCCAGCCAAGGAGCGTGCCAGTGACGAGACCATCACGGAGTGGGTGCGCTGTTGGCGCCAGTACCTCTACAAGAAGCAGAAGGCAGTGCGGGCTGTTTGTTTTTGTTGTTGCGAGGGGTGCACCTCAAACTGAACCTTTCGAACACACACCCCGAAACAAAACATCACCAACAGCCCTTTGAGAGCACCGCGCCGAGCCCTGCACCCGGAATCCAGTAAACCCCTAAACCCTACAACATGTCCCCTCGTGTAGTGCCGATAAAGACGCTGGAAGCCCCGAGCAGGCCCGGCAGCGCAGCTCCTCCCCGCGCCAGCGCCGTTCGCGCAGCGCGGGCCGCAGCCGAGGACCGGCCCGTTTGTTTTCTTTTTCGAGGGCTCCATGGCAAGCATCGAGGGGTTATGTAACAAGTTATGTAGGCTGTTTAAAAAGTTATAGGGGGTGCCCTGTTTTTGGGACATGTCGACATGAGGGCTTCAAAGGCGCCAAAGCGATCCCCTGCGTGGATCTCTGCATGCCGAGTCCTCCTTGAGACTTTTTCGTCGCAGGCCCCGGCCCCTGGGAAACGATGACCACGCAGGCGCCGGGGCAGTTTTGCAAGAGTATGTCTGTTAGTGTTCAAAAAAAACTCTCGGTTCTCTCTTGGGGCGCGAGCGCTTTTCGCCCAAGTTCAATCTAGTTTTTGCGTTTTGTGCATGTCGTCCCTGGGCCCAAGGAGCTGGAGAAGATCCAGACGAAGTTGGCGTGGTTGCTGAGGCGGCTCAGGGAGGGTCTGGGGCTTTTTGGGGGAAACTTTCCTCTGAGCAGTAGGCCAGGAACACTTTAAAACTCCTTCGAACTCCGAGGCTTCCGCAGAACCAACGGAGATTGCAGCACGTGGCGGACAAGCCTCACGCCGCCTGCGAGGGATTCCTTGGGGGCTCTCGACCCGAAGCCGACAGAGCCATTGAAATATAACTACCAAAGCGAGGCAAGGTTAAAACAGTTAAAACAGTTAAAACAACCCCCCTCATGCTACGCTTTTCAAGCTTTGAGCCGACCCAGCAACATCGGCCTCGATCCCATGCCCGGCTGAGGACAATGAGGCACTCTTCCTCTGTGAGCTCCGTGTCGTCCTGGATTCCCTGTGGCTCGGCCTAGGGTCGGGTCAGGGCCGATGCCGTAGCATGCCCCATCCCCCCAAAACACATCTATTGATGGGTGGCCCTAACCTTAATCCTCAAGGTAGCTGGGTGCGGGGTTTGACGGCTCAAGCTTGCTGGCGCTTATCGTTTGGTTAGTTCTTTTCGACATCCCTTCACGCCTCTGAGGCTCACCGGCTCACCCCTCAACCCTCATCCCTGCTTTGCAGCCCTCGCAAAGCCCTCAAAGCCCCGCATCGTTTTTGAGGCTCGGCCCGCTGTTCGTCGCCTCGGGCCTGGTCCAGGAGCCCGTGTTTCAAAGGTTTTCCGGCGGCCTTTTCTTGGGGTGGTTTTGCAGGTTTATGTGGAAATAGTAGGATTCCCTGAAAATGAGGAATAAGGTAATGCACCCCGAACTTCGGAAACCCAGCTCTGAACCTCTGGATACCCTGAGGCGAGCCATGGGCTTCGGAGAAGAGCCCCGAAGCCCCGAACAGAATCTTGAAAGTGTTCGAGTTCACCGAAGATGCCCTGGGAACTTAGGGGGTTTAGGATGCAACGGGTGTGGCCTTCACACAGTAGGCTTCATGCTGGCGGGCTAGAACAGTCTGAAGAGAGTCAAGCGTACGGAGCCAGGGGATAAGGGGCGCATGTTTTCATGAAGGTTAATCCGAGCATCTGTTTAATTGGGGGGGGTCCCCCCCCCACCGCAATAAGGAAGGCAGGGTTCCGCAATAATTGGACCATGGCCCTGCATTGATTCTCTATTAAAAACAATAGGCTGCAGATCCCTGAGGTGCTGTAGCTTCGCATCTCCGCAAGCAAAACAAGAAGCCTGCCGACAGATTTTTGAACCCCCCCCAAAATAATTTCTTTAAATGTGGTGGGTTTGCCCCATACGAAATCCACCCTAATGGAAAGTAGTCTTCCGGCGGGCTTCCGGCCGAAAACATTTCTTTAAATGTGGGGGTATTAATTAAACAGATGCTCGGATTATGGAGGGACTCACTTGGGCTTTTCGCGGTTAGCAGTAGGAACTACGGGCGCTTGCATCCGCCTCCTTTCCACCCCGCTGCTTCCTTAAGCAGCCCCTCTGGATCCCGCATGAGCCGAGAACCGAGAACCCAAGCCCTTTGGGAGAAGCTTGGCCTTCACATTCAGCCCCCGCAAGCTTGCAGTTCCATTTTTTCTTTTCTCGTGAGGACATGAAACCGCGGACGCTGCAGGACGCCAGGGACGACATGGAGAGCTCCTTTGCTGCTGCAAGAGGAGGGTGTGAGCGGGCGTTGACGATGTTGAGGCTTCCAAGTGGTCTCAGCAGGCAAGTGGGTCGGAGGCGGAGAGAGCGTTTCGCCTCCGAGGGTTTTTGAGTGCTTGGCACACCGATATACAGCGATGTTGACACACGGCAGTGGCTCAACCTGGCGTCCTGCCTTGCGAAAAGAACTCCGTAACAGAAACAGATGTCCCGTAACAATCCGTAACAGGCGCCTGCAACAGGAAAACGGCCCTAGACTGCAGCAGAAGACGCGGCCCTCTGTCACGCGAACATGCTGGGACCGGTAATGGCAGCCGCTGCAGGTTTAGGGTTCGGGGTTCAGGGTTTAGGGTTTAAGGTTTTAGGGTTTAGCGTTTAAGGTTTAGGGCCTGGGAAAGTCTAGGGTTTGTTTGCAAAGGGGTACGGTTCTGGTTACCGCGGGCCTGGATTTCGTTACCAGCCTGCGTTTGTTTTCGTTACACATCGCTTTGTTTGCTCGTCACTCGTTTTCCGGTAGGGCCCTCCATGGTTTGTCGCTACGGCCCGATCTGAAGTCGTGCAGCTATGCTTGACGTTGGTGCCATGCACATCCTGCCAAAAGCCCAGGGAAGGCTTTGCCGGAAGCTGCGCTTGTCTAAGGCACTCCCCCATGTTCCCATGTATGCGCTGATGAACCCACCCCGCAAGCTCTGCGGCACATTCAGGCTGTGCACTGGCCCTCGGCGGCAGTGCGGCAGCGCGGCACAAGGAGCTGCTGAGCTGCTCGGGCTGCGATGGGGTGTCTGTTCAGTTTTGCAAGCACATGCGACTGTCACGAGCTTACGAGGGCACGGGTGGCCTCGAACAGCACCCCAAAAGACTCCTCGACCGAGGTCTCATGAAGCTCGACCAAGCCGGTCGCTTCCCCCAGGCGCCCAAACGGCGTCCACGGCACTGCACGGCCTTGAAGATTGGGTCAAGTACTGTAGGTCGAATTGGGGGGTTCTGAGGGGCTGAGTTGGGGGTGAAGCATCACCGAAGCTTCCCGAGCACATTGCAGCCCTTGTCCAAAGCTCTGGTCTCTTTGCAGATCTCCGCCCGGAGTGCGTCTCCGGTGCCTCGAGTACCGCACGGGGCCCGGGAAACAGCGGGAGGACCACTCAGCAAGATTGGGATCAGGTCAGTGCAGCCCAAAACCCTTAAGCGGGTGCAGCTACCAGCATACTTCCCGGCACACACACTGGATGTTGTGTTGCGGTGCGGAGGCCTGAGAGTTGGAATATGCACGTTCTTCGCAGCGCTGAGGCCGCAATTCCTACCCTCGCAGCGCATGGGCATCACGGTCTGAAGTCGCAAGCGAGGCTTAGTTGCCGCATGTTGCCGCATTTCAAGCCGAGGCAACAACAAGACCCGTTCACCCTCTTTACACGCATGAGAAGCAAAAATGCAAGAACCACGCAGAAGGGCGATTCGGGTTCACAGCAAGTGCGCCAAATTTCGTAGGAGATCTCTGTACCTGACCCGCTCGACAGAGAAAAGGAAAGCTGCATGCAGAGTTGTTCCCTTGATTTTGGGCGTTTGGGGATCCTTGTGCGGACGCACCCGGCTTTAGTGCGGTTGGCTGCAGGTTCAGTTTCCGTGCGTTGAGGTGTTTGGTGTCCAGGGCCTACTGTCATTGGTCAAGGCCGGAGGTTGTTAAATGATACATGACATGCTCCTTCACAAGTGGCCGCCGAGGGCTGCCTCCTGCACTCGAACTTTCCAGACCCCAATGATCGTGAAGTGCCTCTGAGGTCCTGATGATGCAGCAGGAGAGGCACTGCAAGAGGACCACGCTTCCAAGCCTTGAATCATCTTGAATCAAGTGTAAACTGCTAAGCTGCTAAGCTACCACTCGCATATCGATCTCAGTGAAGGCCCACGGCACCTTTAGGTTGAGGCTCCCTCCAGGCGGCACCGACCAAGCTAGCGGCTACCAAGGATGAGAAGCCAAGAAGCCCGAGGCCCCTCAAATGATAGAAATGGGGGGCTCTTCGCTTCAGTTCCTGCAAGGATTGCAATGGTCAGTGTGCGCAACCGGAACCAGGCATTCCTCAAGGCGGGCTCGTGTGGAGTCATCTTTCATGGTCTCATGGTGCGGACGTTCCACGCGGTAGCAGGGTCTTCTCGCTCCGAGGTTCCAGGTCGAGGGCCCAAAGTCAGCTTTGGGGTAGGGTCGAGTGTGTAGGCAGGCCTGAACACCGCAAATCCTCAACGTGCCCTCGCCTGGAGGCTTCGGGTTATGTTTTCTCGGTGCTTCCCCGTACAAGGAGCGTTTCAGCTCGTATGAGAATGCAGTATCTGACTGAACAGGCTCCGGTTGTGGGACTTGCTTTCGAAGCAGCGGGGTTTTCTGTTTTGGGGGGACCACAGACAGCTGCAGGCGCTGCTGGGCTTCAAGGGATGCTTTGGGATCAGGGGAATCAGATGACCAGCCTGGAGTTTTTTGGGGGGGGGCGGCTCTCGGCTTTCGGGGTTTCGAGTCCTAGCCGAGAAGCTCTGAGCACTGAAGCTTTGGTGCACGCCGGACCCGCGCCTTGTCTGCCAGTCGATTGATGACATCGCGCCGTTTGCTTCAAGGTGCGACGTTCAGCTGCTGCACGTTCTTCAGCTTAAGTTTCTGATTTGGGTGCCGATGTCGAGGACACGTTGGCTTCACTCCGGTCTTTCAAGAGTTCTCAGCATGAAAGGGTCGAGGGGTTAAGTTCTCAGTTTTTAGGGTCAGGAAGCTTCTGTTGCCCAAGGAAAACAACCTCAGACGGCGGCGATGATCTACTAGTAGCATGGTCAAGGAATCATGATGACCGTGATGACATGCCTGCTGAACTGGCGTCCCCCCCTTTTGTTTCTGGGATCAGGGTTCTGTCCTGCTTTCGCGATCCTCGGCGCCGAGCCCTCTCCCAAGTGCCCAGGCCGGCGCTTCGCCGAATTCAGAACTCCGAGGCGGGGGCCCTCCTGTGAGCTTTTGTGGAAGCAACGGGGGCCTCCACAGCCATACCAATACCGAACAGTCAGCAATTTCTGCCTCACCACCCCCCTTCTTTCTATGCCCAAGATGTCTTGCAGGCGGTTGCAAGGAAGCCTCAGAACAGTTCCTGAGGTCCTCAACTTGTCGTTAAGCCCATGTCCTCGAAGGAGCTAAGAAGCAGTTGTCTTTGCGGGTGGCTTCTTCTTTGCAGGGGAGTTTCAACTGCGGTGCTTCGTGCTTCGGCGATCTTTATCACACCAGACTGGTCCCCTTTTGCCTGCAATCCTAAAGCTTTCAGCCTCTGACAGCCAACTAAACGCCCTGACGCCGTGCAACGGTCTGACTCTGGATGTCTGATGTTCTCCGAAGCCAGGCAAAGTCCTCGAGGAGGGTACCTCAGGCCGGCGCTGTCTCTCCCGTTGTGGCTTTTTTGGTCTGAAGCGGGCTCCTAGGGGTGGCAGAAAGCAGGGGCCCATTTAGCCCTTCTATGGTCTAGACACAGGTCGTTTCGCCCTGATCGTTTTTGGGGCCTTTCCCTTCCCCACCATCTGGCTGAGCCATGGGTGAGCCATGCGTTGAGTCTTTCGCAGATTGTGGATGATGACAGTGATGGGTCTGTCTCAGCGGTCCTGGCCTGAGAGTTTCCAGGCATTCTCTAAACCCTAAACCTAAACCCAAACCCCAAACCCTAAACCCTAAACCCTAAAACCTAAAACCCTAAACCCCAAACCCTAAAGCCTAAAGCCTGAATCCAGCCGACTGAGCTGATCTGATTGCGAGCTTCGAGCAGCTTCGAGCCCTGCAAAGGCTCCAGACGTTCGGACGCTGGATCCGCACAGCGCCTCTGCAGCAGAGCGTCTTTTCGACAGGATGATGGTGGGTTCTGGCGAAGGTTCCCAAAGATTTGCCGGAGATAATTACCAAGGAAAACCGAAAGTTCAACCTTAAACACTACCCGCACCTTTCCCCTGACATTTCTGTCCGCCCGTCTCCAACCCGGAAGACCCAGGCAGTTCCCGCTCAGTGCCCAAAGGTTCAAGTCCTTGGCCGCTTAGCCTTCCCTTGAAGGCCACACCCCTGAGATGTACCAAAGCGTCCTTGCGGAGGGGATCCGCCTCAAGGCAGTGCTTTTCGTCTTGGCGGGGGTAGGGGTGGGGAGGGGGATTGCTTTCGGCTGTTTCTTTTTCGCGCTTCGTTGGGTGTTTATACATGACCTGTATCTGTGTAGATCTAAACGGCATGTTGTAGACATGTATGGCCAGCAGTTCTCCCTATCACGGCCTCGCGCGCCAGAAATACCAAGCAGAGGGCGTTGGCTGGATGATTCAAGGTGCCCGGGCTGCAGGAAGAAAAGGGTTTAGCGTTTAGGGTTTAGGGTTCCTTTTGTCAGGGATCCAGGAGAGGTTTGGGGTGGGGGGTGGGGGGTGGGGGGTGGGGGGGGGGATGTTCGTGGAACCCTAAACCCTAAACCCTAGGCCCAAGGCCCTAAGCCCTGAGCCCTAAACCCTAAGACCTAAACCCTAAACCCTAAACCCTAAACCCCGAACCCTGACCTCTTTCTTGGAGAAGGTCTTAAACTCTAGGATGCTATGTTGAAGGATCTGGTGGGCTTCTTAGGGGACTGCCGGGAAGAAGGCGCATCTGTCTGTCGATCTCTCTCTATGTCACGTAGGGTTCTCCTTTTAAGGGGAGGAGGACTTCTAACAGGGGTCCCTTCTAGCATCCTTGGGGTCTTGTTTGCCTTTGCTCCCCCCCCCCCCCCCCCCCCCCAAGGCTTCTTTGACCGCTGCGGGGGCATCCTCGCTGACGACATGGGCCTCGGGCCCCGGCCCCGGCTTACGGCCTCTCTCTAGACAACAGGGTATGGTAGAGGGTGAGTTTAGGGTTTAGGGGTTTAGGGTTTAGGGTTTAGGTTTTGAAAAGAATGTACTCCCAACCTTGAACGTACAGGAAGCGAGGCCAACCACTGGAACACCGGAAGATTTTTCATAAGTGCATCAGACCTTGCCCTCCTCTGCCCCCCCCCTCCTATCTGTGCTGCAGGGAAGTCCTGAACGTGCCTCCCGAATCTCCGGGGTTGAAGGTTGGCAGGCTTTTCTTGTTCATGGGACCACGGAAGAAGTAAACATCATCAGAGTTCAGAAGTCTCAAGCCTGAGTCCTTCCAGAAAACCCCGATGCATCAGTTGTCAATGAGGTTTATGACATCCCCAGCTTTAACCGTGGGACCGCAGCCGTCTTGACCCCATCCCGGTGAAGTCATGCCGTGTGTCAGGAAGACATTGATGACCTTGTGCTTCCTGAGCTACCTCAAGGCCAGGCAAGAGCTCTTGCTTCGGGCCGGATTTTGCTGTTTTCAGGAGGGGATTTGGGGGAGCAAGCTGGCCAAAGCCCCAAACCCAAAGCCACAAAGTGAGAGAAAGTTGAGGCCGGTGCTAATCTGAGCCCTCAGGGAGAGGTGTTGTCCCACTTGAGAAGACCTTTCACGCGACCTTTCACGCGCCCTCTTCAAACCTCTACCGTAATTGTCATCACAGCAATCATGCTTCTATGACGAAGGTCAGTATGAGCAGTTTCTCCCCCGTCTCTTAAGCATGGTGAACCTTCGATGGAATTAGGGGAACTAGGTTCCCCATACAATCCCTCATCCCTAAAGACTCATAGAGGTACATAGGGGACTAGAAGAGATGCAGGCCACTCTTTGTACCCCCCCCCCCCCCCCCCCCCTTTTCTGAGAGAAGGTGAAGGAGAGGATACCGGGCCCGGCCCTGGTAGTGGTCCCGCTCAGCTGTGCGGGAAACTGGTTGCGGGAGGCCTGGAGGAAGTTCCACTGCTTCCCTCTTTGCTTTCTCGGTCGGGTCTGGGGGCTTCTGGGGCTTTCGCTCTGGAGTTTTTGGACCTTCCCGCACATGAATGGCTTCGGGTTTTCAGACTTGGGAGGTTCCGACAATCATTCTTACTCATGGGGTTCTTTGCCGGAAGCAGAGAACCGAAGTGGGTCATGAGAATCTTCTTTCTGGCTGTTTCGTTGGGACATGTGCGCTGAAGTCGGGGCCTGGGAGGAGTTCCGTTTCCTAAGTTCTCGTGCTTTACATGGGGGGAAGCTTGTCAATGATCCTGAGCATCCCTTCTGAATTCCGCGGGATATTGAAGAGGGCTGTGCCTGGCAGGCACGGAAGTTCGTCCCGCACCTGTCCATTGCGAAGGCCTACTACGTGCACCCGTGGGTGCCCCTCGAGCTGATCGCTCTGCTGAACTCCAAGCCCCCAAGCTCTCTGAATACCTGGACCGAAGCCTCCGAGAACCATCCGAACTCCTCAAACGGGCTCTATGCCAGGTCTGTGGCTCCTCGAAGGAGAAATCCTTCAGCCTCGATGACGATGATATCTGGTTTGGGATGAAGGCGCCCCCCCCCCCCCGCCGGGGTCAGACTCGGTCTCTCGCCTGGTCGGGTGTTCGGGGGGAGGCTGTCGCAAGTTTGCTAGGGTGGCTGCCACAGAGCGTTTGAGAGAGTTGTGATTGTCCACAAGGATTGTCGCGGGGGCTGTTGACCTGCCGCCTGAGGACATCATCGTCACGACCTACGAGACTCTGCCGCATCTTGCAGGCCCTGAGGACCCAGCCAGAGGGAGAAGAAAGGATTGATCATTTGGACTTCGGCCTAGCTTGGACTGTCCTTGAAGTTGTCCTTGGTGCCGGGCGATGGCCCCGGTACCGACTCACTTGGGGGGTGATTTTCAAGGGAAGGCTGTGGCGAAGCTTGGATGTTCTGCAGAACAAGAAGAATGCCTTGCAAGCCTGTGTCGGAGGACTTCTTCGGCCGGGTTTTCTGGAAGGCCGTGATCTTGGACGAGGCGCTGATCTTCTGTGGGCAGCCCTCTTCCTAGACATTCCTCAAGCCACAAAAGCCTCTCAACGCCCCCATGCTCACCAGTTTGCAGACTTCGTTCCATTTGCAGAGAGCCAGCTGTTTTTTGGGAAGGGGGAGGAGGAGAGGAGAGTCCCAAAGCAGAGCAGCAGCCCAGAAGCTAGAAGGGCTCCCAAAAGAGAGACTTGAGGAACACATAGGAACACATAGGAACACACGGGAGCACCCTTCACTGCCCCTCTACAATGCATGGCGAAGGTCAAGCCGAGGCTTCGCACATTTTTTCAAGGGCCGATGCCTTCGTTTTGTGAGGCGCATCGCGCCAAGAGCAGCACCAGCAAGATCCGGGAGGCCCGGGCCGGACTGGTATCCACTCAGGCTTCCTGCTGGTCGATGGTGTAGAAGGTGGGATGGGATGGTTTACGGACTGTCGCCGGGTTCTGGAGTGTTTGGGCTCGGGGCTCTGCACCAGAAGGGTCGTTCGTGTCCGGTGTCCTGGTTGTTGGTGTGTGCGCCCACTTCTCCAGCCGAGGCCCTCGAAATGACACAGTCTGCGAGCCGCTTTCTCCTGACAGGGACGCCGCTGCAGGCTACTGGCGTCGTTGCGTCGTTGAGTTGAGGATTGTGCATGTTTCGAGTTACGGGTGTTCGCTTAAAGTGGGCTTCAAGGTGCTGGAAGCTTCCAGGTGCACGGGGGCGTAGGCTTTAAGTGCTGCCGAGCCCCTAGAGCAGGCAGCCAGGTGGCATGTGTAGTTCGAGGGTGTACCAAGGTGTACCCCCAGTGGTGTTCCCCTCACACCCCCTGTCAGAACAACTTGAAAGAGCTCCACGCGCTGCTCAAGTTCCTCTGGCCGGACGTGCTGGCAAAGCAGTCCGAGGTGCAGATGGCCTTGAGAGTGGACCAAAGCTGTCGCGTCGCTCTCAAAAGTCAGCGCAGAATTTCAGGGTTTTTTGCAGCTCGCGAAGAGAGGGCTTGGGGCAGTTTAGTTTAGTGTCCACTGCGCACACTTAGGGACCAAGAATTCTGAATTCTTCACAAGCACGATGTAGCCCAACGAGGCCGTGAGTTGTCAAAAGCGCACGCCGAAGTATCTCGACGTCCTCAGCCCATGCAAGCGCTTTGTGTGCCAGGTTTTTGAGAACGCGATTCAACTGCCTGAGTTGGCCGCCAAGGCACTGTTTCTTGCCCGGTGTCGGTGTGAAGTTCAGGGCTTGAGTTGGATCTCTGCCAAACAGGTGTCCCGGGACCTTAGCAAGCCTGTGTAATTTTAGTAGACCAGCCGCAACAGGAGCATCGTCACATGTCTGACCAGTCCGGGGTTCGGGATGTTAGAGAGGTTAAGCAGGAGTCTTGTCAAGTGCGGAGAAGACCGTTGTTGTTTTGTCCTAAGCTGGACACTACGTGTCAAGCGATGTCAACCGTGGGGTTTGAGGTGCCCGAGCTGAAGCTTAGCGATGTTTAGGATGCTTGAGGCTTCTGAAACCCTCAAGACCCCAACAGTTCAATAGGCCGACGCGACCTCCAAAGCGTGCATCAACGAGGTCATGGCGTGGTGGCCCAGCAGGGATTGAAGAGTTTTGAGAGTTGCCTTGGTTTCTTGAAGCGCCCTGCGAGTCTTATTTCGTGCAGGGCTTGACTCCACTTCAACAGGAACGCTGCTGTACTGTATGAGACCGGTTTGTTGCGGCTCTTTGTGAAAGGTGCCCAAAAAGGCTCTCGATTGGGGAAGATGCTTGAAAGAAAGGGGAAGGTAGGATTCGGCAGTCATGAGCCTTAAGATCGTTCCCAAGCTTTCGAACACGTTGGTGCAATCTCCACCAGCTTCCAGGTCGACAGAATCCGTGGGCTTCTGGCCGGCGGCCGAGAGTAGCAGCGGTCCGTGGGGTTGAGCATCACCGAAGTTCTCTCCATCCTGGGGGTGAGAGTACGGACACGAGACCGCTGCCGCTACTGCCGCAAAAGAAGCCTTCAACAAGCCAAGAAGAACTTCTAGTACCAAGGGAACCTCCCTTAAACCCTATAAAGCAGCCAGCACCAACAGCATTTTTCGGGACCGGCCCCGAGGCTCTGAGCATGAAGCGGAGGAAGAAGGAGGAGGTCCCGGGTTCTAGGGCGTTAAGGGGGAAAAGGGTTGTGGAGATAAGGGGCGGCGCCTTCATGAGGCGCTCCCACGGCTTTGTGGGAGCTTTCGGTTTGGGCGAAGCCCCAAGGCATAAAAAGCCGTAAGCCCTCCGAGATCCTTGGTGCGGCGTATGGCCTGCCAGGTGCTGCTCCTGCCGCCCAAAATTTTCCACGACGTGTGGCTGCCAATGACTCCACTCCAGGCGAGTTTCGTGAGAAGCTCGGGGGCTTCATTCAAGTCTCTCAAGGCTTTCGACAAGAAGGGGCTTAGTTAAGTTTAGGATGCCAGAGTTCAGACAGGCCCTGCCTGAAGGGGCAGCCCGTCCACGAGTGCGAGCGTGAAAGCTCGCTTGCGACGCACATCACGTCATGTGTAAACTGAGTCAAAGCTCAGACCCAGGTATGGGATGGGGAAAACTGGCAGCTATGAAAAGTATCGTAGCGGTCCCGACCATTATCAACGTATACTCTTCATGTTCGAGGTGCCATTGTGTGACCCATCTGCCCTGCCAGATGCGCTGACCATCACTTGCCCAGCCTGTGAACATCATTGCGCGAATTGTTGTGATGTACCCTGCCCTACTTCCTACTCACCAAGCTGGCCGATGCCCTCAGCCTTCAACGCTGAATCTCAGTATGGCAGGCGCAATGGTACCGCCGAATCCTGTCCCTTAAGAACACACCGATTGCCAGAGGCGTGGACCCAAGGGGTTTCGGAAGGTGGCAGATGATTGTTGCCCCCGCCAGCAAGCCCGAGCTTCCCCCCCCCGCCTGACTCCTTGTCGCTCTCAACGAACTCCTACCAAGGCACAGAAGCCTTCCGCCTTTTCATCCCTTTCCTTTCAAGATTCAAAGCCCCTCCTTGCTGCAGACATTCGGTCGCTGAAGAAGTTGATCGCCTGCACCTGAGCCTTTTGCAGGGGCGTGGGGGGTTGGCTCGTCCAACTTGTCAGAATCCGTGCAGAGGGACCTGCCCCCGCAGCAGAAGTTCAAAGGACACCACAACCGTCACTGCCATCTGCCCGGTTTAACCTCGGCCGCAAAGCACCGGGGCTTGTGTAGGATCTCAGCCCAGCCCTCTGCCGGCTCTGAAGACACTCTGTTCCCAGATTCGGCTTCGAAACATCTGCATCCATCCACGCCTGGTGGCGGGAGCTCAGGACCCCTGTGTGCCATTCGGAGTGCTTGATATTTCATCTTCAGGAAGCCTCGGCTGTGCTTCCGAAGGAGGATGCCAGCTTCCTGACTTCTACGGGCGTCTGCTCCCAGGAGGACTCCGGGTGTGAGGCAACCAAGGGCATGCAAAGGGCCTCCTGCCATCATCCCAGCTTCCAGAGCGTGAGGTGTGAACACTGTTGAATGAGAGAGTGCTCCCAACCTCCCAAGCCCTGCGCCTCACAGGGGGAAACCCTAAACCCTAAACCGTTTAAACCCTAAACCCTAAACCTTAAACCCTAAGCCCTAAGCCCTAAGCCCTAAACCCTAAACCCTAAACCGTCTTCTACTTCCCTCTCTTGGCCAGAGAGGGCTTTCTTGTCAGGAGCTGGACCAGCTCAAAGACGCGCCTTTCAGCGAGGAGGCGCCGGTTTTGTAGGGATTCTTGGGGAGGCCGGCGAGTTGTTTGGGATTTGTGGGGCTTCCGTCCTAAAAGCTCCAAAGATCTCAGAAGAGGGACGGCCCTCGCTGCCCCCGGAGGTCATTCGCGACAGTTACAAGCTGTCCTTTCTGGATGCGCTGCTGAGGTGTGCATCTTACCCGCAGATGTGCTTGCTCTGAGTGGGGTCTAGAAGGATGCTTGCGTCCTGAGCCGAGAACCCTAGCCGAAGCAACCAGAGAGCATAACCTTGCATGTGCGTTTACACCCGGCTTATGCACCGGCGGAGTGTCCAGCGTTGGGCGAGACTTCTTGGGTCCTTCAAATCCTATGTTGAAGGTTCAAGATGTCCGGCCGGTGCAACCTGGCACCCCCGCGTCCTCACGAGTCTGAATCCCCTACCCTACCCTTGCCTCACGAGTAGTAAGCATATTTCCGTCCTCCCACAGTAGATCCTAACATCCGCAAGCCCTTAGCCAAAGACTCTGCCTCCTTACATCCAACATCATGAGCATCCCGGGAAGGACCAACCCAGAACCCCCAACAATTCAAATGATCCCTAAACCCTAAACCCCAAACCCCAAACCCTAAACCCTAAACCCTAAACCCTAAACCCTAAACCCTAAACCCTAAAACCCTAAACCCTAAACCCTAAACCCTACACCCTACACCCTAAACCCTAAAATCTAAGCCCTAAAACCCTAAACCCTAAGCCCTAAACCCTAGTGATCCCAGTATGATCCCAAACGTCCTCCGTGGCCCAGTCACCTCCACGCCCAAAACATGGGCCTCAGCGATGTCTGGCGCAAAGCCTTCGAGGTGCCGTGTGGGAGTTGCCCCTCCTCTACTTGATATATATGCTTTCGTATGGGTAAAAAGAAAACCGGATAAATAAATCAATAAATAAATACAAACAAATACATATATATATATACACATACCTACATCACAGAATGTAGAAAATGTACATATACCTACAATGGAGAATTTATCGTATGCTAGGGGCTGCGGAAGAGAGAGAGACTTGGGTTTGGTGGGTCGCTGGTTGGGGGACAGGGCGCCACCGCACGTCCTTCTGTTGTTAGAAGTGCTTTGACAGGCAAGATTCTTGAACTTCTATGAAAAGTACAGAGAGTTCGCCGCAGCAACCACTTTGCTAGCAAAGGCCGGTGATGTGGATGAAGCGGATGGCAACCCTCTTGATGCGGTTTCTTCTGTGAAGGGCTCCTAGACCTTTAAGGATGTGGTGGCGGAGCGCTGTGGTGAGGGCCACAACTCTATGCAGTTGTTGCCAACTTGTATTTTCAAGCTGTGCAGTGCAGCTGTACAGTGCAGCTGTGCCTTCGACAGTGTTACATGGGGCTTGAGACGGGCAGACGCGAGCGTTCAGAGCTTGCTCTCAACATCGACATGGCGCCCCCCTCAGCCGAACCCCGGAATCCGCCACTTCACCTCTTTCCCCCCCAGTGCCCGAAGGGTTTAGGGTTGAGGGTTTAGGGTTTATAATTAGGGTTAAGGGGGCCCGCTCTCCCCTACTCCAAGCCGCAGGTGCGTGCCAAAGACACCAAGAAGAAATCGGCGTCTGCGTGGCTCCAGAGTCCGTGCACTCAGCCGACGACGATGAGACTGTTCTTTGTCTTGGGGGAGGGGGGTTTAGGGTTTAGGGTTTAATTAGGGTTGGGGGGGGGGGGGGGCTCTTTTTTTTCAGAGGATGTGTTGGCCTTCCAGGGTGCTGATGTTATCGGGCTTCTCAGATCACTTGGGTGGGCGAGGAGCTTGGGTTCTGGCGTTTGCAGTCCTGAAAGCCGGAGTGTATTCTTCATAACGTTGAGAGGTTGAGAGAAACAGAGAGTACGTGACCACTGAACTGAACGCGGTCATGAACAAGAGGCAACTCCCTTGGCCAATGAAGGATCATGTTCGCCAAAGCTGTCTATTCCCAGTAAGTTTGGGGAACTTGCATACCTCCGAATCCGAAGAAGACCCGATGCCGAGATGCTTCCGGTCCAATGTTTCTGGATGCCTGGGGTCCCGGTGCGAAACCAGAATTGCACACTGCATGAGCGCCAGCGTCTGCCAGAGAAGCTCGCACAGAGAGGGGCTGCGCAACGGATTCAGGGATGGTCTTGGTTTGCAGGTTTGTGGAGCTTTAGGGACGGCTTCAGGCATGTGTGGATGAGAGGGCTGATGTTGGAGCCATGTGCGACAAGACTTCTTCATTAGACCAAAGCTTGAGCTCGAGCTGCTCAACCGCCAAGCTCAGGACATGAAGTACCACCACATGCCGCTCGAGAATGGCAAGGAGCCAACGTGGATGTCGAGACGAATGGGGCAAAGCCTCGTTTCTCATGCGATTTGGATTCCTGTGTGAGTCAGACCTGGCCGTGCGGTTTGCCTGCAGGGCTTGGAAGGGTTTAGGCGCATGAAGAACGGACCTGGGTTCACTTGCTGATTCTTGCGCCTCAGATCATGGTGTGAGAGTTCCGCGGACTGTTGGGGGCTGCAGCTTTGTGCTGCTCGGTGGAGAGCCTGTCAGTCACACGTGAGCTG